ATTGAAACTGTGGTTTAAATTAGTTCTAATAGGCTATTGTTATTTTTAGATTTAGAAACGAAAACGTTTTTTTTTTTATTTCTGGCGTTGCTAATGACGACCATACTACCCGTGAACGATTAGCGAACGTTGCAAGCAAGCTAAAGAAAGAAGAAAGCTGAATGATGTTAAAAACGTGGTTCAAAACGGGAGGTATTCGGAAGAGAGGTACAGAGGAGAATATTACCAGCGAAAGTGAACAAGTGAATGAGGAGGAGGACAGTCATCAGCCGAGTACAAGCGTAGGCTCCGCCAGCAACACAAAAGTGATATGCACAGCCGCTGTGATGGAGGAGAGAAGTGACTCAGGAAGAAGGCATTTGCTCAAAGGATGGAGAGAGGTCAAAAGCTGAAAAAGCACACACTTGTCCTTAATTGTTATCTTTTTTCTTATGTTTTTTCTTTTCTTTTTTACTTTGCCACCACAGAAATGGCAATAGCAAACATCAGCAGACTGAAGATGAGCTATTAGCCCTTAGGCTCATCTGCTCCTGGAGGCTTCATTATTATTGGAACTGAATTCCCAATAGGACATTTTCTGTTTCGATGTGGGTTGTTGCAGGAAGCCTACATTCACACTTTGGTATAGGTCCAGGAAATGACATTTGTTGTGTGAGAATAAGTTATTATTTTGTTCTTTATATTCTCACTTGTGGTGTGTGTGAGAGAGAGAGAGAGAGAGAGAGAGAGAGAGAGAGAGAGAGAGAGAGACAGAGAGAGAGAGAGCACACAATAAATAATGGTATTATGAATACATTTGCCTCCGAGGTCCTACATGAACTGTGCATAGACTGTATTTTAACATTGGTCATATGGTGGTACTTGGAGAGCCAACTATTTTCTCAGGTGGTACTTGGTGGAAAAAGGTTGAGAACCACTACTCTACAACATACATACAAAGTATTTTCATTTGTTTCGCACCTTTGATGCTTGAACACATGCAGGGATTTGTTAACATCTTGGGTAGATCTTACTTTAAGGCTGATTTGAAGTTTCACCTCAAAGTGAAATTGTAGTCTATTACAATTTGGTTTGTTGTTTACCTGACAAGCCCCTCTAGTGGTTGCCCTCTTAAAACGTTTTCAGCTGGAAGTTTTATTTTGGATCCCAGAATGTTCTTCTGAAAGGTAGGATAACGTTCTCAAAAACATTCTTAAAATGTTTTTGATAACATTGTTAGAACATTATGCCCTACTATTCTTAAAACGTTTTCAGCGGCAAGTGTTTTTGTTGTTCCCAGAATGTTCTTCTGAAAGGTAGGATAATTTTCTCTAAAAACATTCTTAAAATGCTTGGTAATAACCTTTTTTAACTGTTTTTGATAACATTGTTAGAACATTATTCCCTACTATTCTTAAAACGTTTTCTTTAAAACATTATTAGAACCTGTAGGTAACGTTAGCCAAAGTTGTGAGAACGTTCCCTGGCTGGGTGGATGTATAGCCGGTATTCAGGAAGTAGGGTGACTGATTTTGATGTAGCAAGGCACTTTTTAACATCTCTATGAGAGAAACTGGGCTTTCTAAAAACTCCAACGTAAGCCGTTCCACATTGTTAAAGGACTTTCAGAGAAACTGTCAAAAAGGACTTTCACCCAGGGGATTTCTGTTTGTGTCCTGTTTGAAACTTAAGTTAGCATTGACGTATTGTTCCTTACCATTGAAACGTTCTCAACTAATGCCAGTTAATTCTGAATTCCTTATCGTCCTCCTCTTCACTCTTCTCCTCTCTTGTGCTACCCTCTCGTTTACTTTCTCCATTGTTTCCTTCTGATCTTCCTTCCATCGTCCCACCTCTGTCCTCCTCTTCCTCCCTGCAGGCTGTTGATGGAGAAGATTTCGAATGTCAGCCGGGACAGTGGTCATCGCAGGAGGAATTCTGGCTACAGTGATCTTACTGACCATCGTTGCTGTACTGTGTTTATGTAGGTTACAGGTATGACTGTTTTACTACCCACTAATGTTGAATAGGAAAAAGAACCAGAACTAATTTGCAAATGCAGAGTCTTTTTAAAAATAATCCAAGTTCATCAAGATTCAAAGCATTTAACCAAAACTCTAATAAGATGAGTCTACAGTAATGTTTAGTTACCACAGCAATGCTTTGAGCCTAATGTTATCATGCTAATGTTCAGCAAATAAAATCTTTACCAGATTATTTTTACATGTTAACATTTGAAGAATAACTGACAGCTGAGGTTGATTATTTGATCATGAGCCCAAGAATTGGACAAATTAAATGATGGCCTGTTGATTGCTCTAGCTAAAAAGTCAGGATCCTAGTTTTACAGTTTACTGAGACAAACATTGACACAAATGTTGTGTTGCTCCATATAATAGTGCTTCAATCAAAATGACAAATGCTACGCTCATGATGGCACTATAAGGATTACCAAAGCAACAATGCTTAAACATGCATTCATCTAATGGGAAGCGGGGCCAGTCTATGAAAAAATTACCCTACTTATTACTTGATGTATTACTTACTTACTTATTTAGTACCTTATTACTAATTAACATTTTCCTGATAAGTTTATGGTCCCAATTGCTGGTTTCAAGTCTTCTTATATGCCACATAATGTTTACTTTGTAATCAAGGTCCTACACCAGTAAGCAGGGTAAGCTTTAGGCCATACCTTGCAATTGACAGTTCACTACCGCAGTGTTATCAAGTCTGAGTGGTGTATGGTCTTCATTTTAGAACTCAATCCTTTTCACAACGTGTTTGTATTTGCCAAATAAAACAAAGTCCACAAATCGCTAGGGGCATTATAGTGACAACGTTGACGTTTTGTATAACATTTATGGGATCACCAAAATCAGTAGCGTTCATCCTGAGGGGATTGTTTTAATAAAAAGTATGTACAAACATGAACATGAACAATCTATCCAATACATTCTGACATAATAACTCAGCCTAGAGGGTGGATCGATGAATTCAGCTCTAGTGTTGTTTTGTTTAGTAGCATGACTTCTTATTGTTAGCCTCTGCATGATTAACATTAAACATTTAATTACACTGACTCTGACTTGTATCCATTCCCTGTTTGTAACCATTCCAGTACTACTGTTGTAAGAGGGAGGAGTCTGAGAAGGGGGAAGAGGAAGAACCAGAGCTCGCCTCTATGTCTCCTTGTCCGCCCCTGGCTCTGTCCGCTCCCCCTACGCCTCCGACGCCGGAACACTTTAGCGACGTACCGGAAAACTACCCCCCTACCTTCCTTACTGAGGCCAATGGTCCTGCCAGCTACTCCCCCACACAGCCACCGCACAGGTGCCATCGCTCACATGCCTTCTGCCCGACCTGCACCCGCTGCACCCTGCCCTTCTACCTGCAGCACCCGGAGAGGCTGTGCAACGGCGGTCGCAGGATCAGCTACAGGACTGTGCAGCAGCAGGACCTTGAACTGCCCATAGACTTGGCCAGGTTCTACCAGAACCTTATTCGCTCGGTCACCATGAAGGAGGTGGTCACCCAAAGCATTAGCACTGATGTCTAGGAGCAGGCAGGATGGAAGCAGTAACATCCTTCTGGCCTGGTGAAAAGGTGCATTGACCCGGTGCTGTGTGCAAACACACTAAATTAACATGTCATATAAGTGTTGTGATGTGGGTGTTGTGATGACGTACAACAACACTGAGGGCTTTTGGGCAATTTCACACCTTTCCTGGCAGCCAAAATTGAGTTGTGCAGCTCTGGAACAAATGCGTACAGCTGAAAACATTCAGTCAGTTTTGACTTGAAGGTGCAATCTGTAAGATATGGCCTGGAATTTAGTTTTAACTTATATTATCTATGGAATGTGAAGAGATTAATTTGTTCATTATATGTCAGACACATCTATTGAGTTGCAGAAATCTTCACTCAAATAGGCTAACTGACAAGCCCCTGCCCATCCTGTATAATATCACTTGTACCTCCAGAAACGTCTGCCAGCAGTCCAACACGAGAGGACAGAGAAGTAATGCTGCCTAAGGGCTTGTCAATCACATGTTGATCAATTCATGATGCTACAACCGCTAATTTAAGGTCCACCTCTGTGAGCTGCGGCACGCTCTCCTCCAAGCTAAGACATTTCCTGGCGGCTGGGACGACAAGACAAAGGTGCCGTTCATGTTTCTGCTATCTTGGATTTAATCAAATAAAAACATGTTTAGGGGTAAACACAACTGAACTATTGGAAACTATAAGCTAATACTACACATGCGTTAGCTTTATCAATTTAGACCAGCTCTCAGTTTCAGCAGCTTGGTTGAGTTTTGACTATGATTTCCCTGCTGCTAGTTATAAGGCTGCTTTCCACTTCTTTCGTGGCTGATGACAGAAAATGTAGATTGTATGGACCCATTAGTAGAGGTGCCCCCCTCTTAGTTTGAAGCAGGTGACCAAGTATTACACATTTCACCTTTGATTCTTTGTGAGTATGGCTTATTTTGTGTTTTGAAAATTAGCTTGTTTGCTAAATAGCTAGTTAGGTGGCTAACCAATGTTTGTGTATAAAAAAGACAATTTCCAATTTGTCGGTTCATTCAACACAGGCTTTGTTTATTTGAATGCACCACACAGAGGAAGACATGGAGGTCAAATCTCTAACAATGTCCATTTGACCTTTCTCCAAGGAAACTAATGGACAGTTAGCTTGCCAGCTAACAGTTTGTTCAAGCTAACAAGGTTTCTTTCAAAGGCTGAACTCTGGTGTTATTGTCAACCAATCCAGTGTGGAGACCAAAAACAACTGTGAATGTACCTATAACAAGTATCCTTTAAAGATAGTGAGCCACAATGTTGTACATCACATATTATTTTACTACCATGAACACACATTTTACTTTATTTTGACTCAATCCTATAATCACCATCATGTTGCCACAACTAGTAACTAAAGAGCCACATACGGATTACTAATCAGCACTGAAAAGAGTAACAAAGTGACAATCTGTATAAGAATGTTTTAAAAGATGTATGTTTTTATTAGGACAAAATGGACATGGGGCTGAGAGCCACAGACATGAAGTAAATAATTATTGAGGGATAGACATTGTTTGTTTTGGTCTTTTTATGGGATTTGTTTAAAGAAAAAGATAGACATTTCTCATTTAGAGGTGTTTTAGAAACATTTTTAACTTACAAATCAAATCTGTTACTGACTTCACTAACAGTCAGTGTTTATTGTTTCTCCCCCAGTTTATAGAAAGCCATTATTTGTGCACAGTGTGATCCAAAACACACCAGTTTCAGCTGTAGTAATGAACATAAAGTGTGTGTACCTTATTACCACTTGACTGTGATTCATTTATGCAATGGAAATATATACTAATGGATAATGCCACACACAAAATGCTTGTGTAGCAATGACTGTACAGTTTTACATTTCACCTTTATTTATTTTCCAGAGGACTTCACCTAACACATCCAAAGGTCCAAAAAGTGTCTTTGTATACTTTTTTTTATAGTTTATTATCTCTTCAGGCTGAAGCAAAGGTGTTTTCACAAATTCTGTCTGATTACATCTTCTCAAAGAGTGAGGTTTAATCAGCAAAATGAAAACACCTGTGCTTAAAATCAATGCTATGAATATAGCCAGCCATCACAACTTTCAATACGTTGTCCTTCAATTTCCCTGAGGCTGATTTATGGTATAGAGTAAAAAAAAAGGATATAAATAATAATAATTAATTATTTATTTATTTAAATCGTAACTTGTAATAATATATTTTTTTATTAAATTGTAACATCAAAAATCTTCTCCAATATCAATTGAAATGTTTAAATTCAGGATTATAATCTAAAATATCATGAATGAGATTTTTTTATCAGATCAAATTTGCATGTTGGTTAGTTGAAAAAGAACATTCCAAAATATGTTTGAGTTTCAACATTCTTCAGGTCAAATTAATAATAAATACATTTTTAAAAGAATGAAATCTGGCTAATCTAACTCAAATTCAGCTATTTAGCAAAACAAGAAAGTCAGGATTTTCTTATACCAATATTCTAAACAACAAAATGAAAAAACTTTGAATTTAATTAGAATTGGTTTAAAATAAAAGCTAAGATATTGTTGACATAACATGGAGCTTCAGACTGACCCATGTTGATCTTCACTGTAGATTTCTCAGCACCGCGTTGTGTTTTTTGTCTGTTTTTAGTTATTTCTCAGTCAACAGAAAGCAGCTCGTCATTCTATCAGTATGTGAGTGTTTTACTGTGTGAATTCAAATCACAATTTTAAGGGCTTTTCTGAAGCATTCAAAGATCCTATGGCTGTGATTCTTGAAGATATGTATTCCCTGTTAAACACATCCTACTGTAGATAGATGCTGTGATGTAGGCCTGCTTTTTCCACCAACATGAGTATTTACTGTAAGAAAAGATTGATCGCACATTTTGGTATTTCTTAATGATAGTAGAGTAGATGACTGTTTGGTTCACACCAGTAGAGAAAACAGCCCGACTCCAGAAGCTGTAGATTCATTTATCCTAAGATGATATGGAATTAAAAAAAAATCGTATTTAGCCAACTAACACTGTAATATAAAAGAAAAATGTAAGATAAAAGCAAGCTGCTAAAAAAGAGCTTTGGAGCTCTGTTTATTCTGGTAGACACAGAAAATGTGAGTTTGTTTTTGTGTCATGTATGATCTTGTCTTGTGTTTTTCATACAAGTGTGTCAACACAAAATCTGTGTGATTCAATCTGTATTCACATGATGCGTGATTTTCTCACCACTATTTGGGAACAGATCCTTGCGGTGAGAACAGTAAGCTAGTTTTGTTGTTATGGTTATGTCCCCTGTTAGCTTGCACTGCTACATACAGCTGTCATCTGATTGGTTGTGCGTCGAAAGTTCAGCAGTAAACAAGGTCAAAGTTGAAATAATTTGAACTTCGAGCACAGCGCTTGGATACAATTAAAACCCGGAAATAACTAAGCCACTTTTACCACTTCCGGTTTCCTGTTTTCTTTTGCAATATACCAAATATCAATGGGCAAATCCCATTGCTTTTTGTCGAAGGACCCCTTTGCAATGCTAACTTCCGGGTCTGCCTACAAAAATATGTCATCACTGCACCAGTCTATATACTACAACAGGACAAAAAGGTTTCATAAATGTCATCAAATTGCCAACAGCAAGGCATCTTTAATATAAAACCACTGATATTACATAAAGATTGGACATTTCTATTCTTAAATGTTGTGTGCTTTACCTAAGAATATTGAGTATTCATATTATTTTTGAATTTAGGGTTACCATATAGTCACAACTTTTTTTTCTGTCTGTATTTAAAATGTTCAACAGCCTGTGGCTAAATAAACACAAATCCATGCTGCATAAAGTTTACACCTAAGGGATAATTTACAGCGAGAGCAACAAATGTTTTTTTCGCATAATGACCCGCTTGCCGTGAAACAGATCATTTGACACAACAAAAATATTGATTGCTTTTGTTATCAAGTATTCAATAAAGCCGTGTAATGAACACATTTGAAGTTTAGTTATTTATGTCTCTGAGATGTTTCGAGTGTACTGCAACATTAAGATACCAAATTCTCGATTGTCCTGACCTTCAACAACTTGGACTCTGCATGCAGCCATAGAGGAAGACATCCTGGTAGTCTCCAGTCTCTGTCGAAGAAACCCCCCCCCCTCCTTTAGTGGAGAACTAATTTCATTTTTCCGTAGCTTTTTCTTTCTTTCTTTTTACGTTAGTCTGCATTTTTAAAAAACTGGAACTGTTGGATTTATTTCCTCTCTGCTTCAGTAGTTGATGTGTTTTTTACCAACAGGGGGTGTACGCTGCTGTCAAACCTGCATTTACTGCTGATACTTTGTGTGAAAGTGACATAAATTACAGTGTTATAAATACAAATAATGCAAAACTTGTTGGTATGTGTTTCCTTGCCTCTGTGTAATTATTGTTGTAGAACAGCAGAATTTGGTTTTGTGGCTTTTTATCAGTTTGAATCTGCGTTGACATTCGTTCTAGTGGAGTCTCGCAGATGGGGGCGCTGCAGCCCCCTCAGCACCAGTTTGTTCCCCAAACGTATGCTGTGAAGACCCGCCCCTACTCCGGTAGGTTTCAGCCATAGTTTTCTTCCATGGTTTCAGCACGAGGAGTGAGATGGGGTGGGTCTTAACGGAATACGAGAGAGGGAGAAGTCATAACAAGTGGTACAGGACAGGTAGACGACGTGTTTTTCGGATGGAAAATGAGCCGAACGAGAAAACGCAGCAGAATTTGGATGCACATCAACCAAAACCCAGGCAGTGATAAAGCGCACCATTTGTAAAGGCAAAATATCCTTTAAAGCAGGCTCAACAAATAATCTCCATCGCCACTTAAAAACACAGTATCTAATATTAAGAGTTGCATGAATTTCATTCAAGGCAAGGCAACTTTATTGACTTTACACATACAGAGGGTAAATTCAAAGTAGTACATTAATAGCCACTTTCACACCAAGTATTACTGACATGAAGGACATGGATATGGCGCC